GACCATCACTGTGGAGGGACCCTGGCTGTCACCATGGAGGGACCCTGGCTGTCACCATGGAGGGACCCTGGCTGTCACCATGGAGGGACCCTGGCTGTCACCATGGAGGGACACTGGCTGTCACCATGGAGGGACACTGGCCAGCATATGGAGGGCTGTGACCTGCCGCTCCTGCACTCCTGTCCTATGACCACCTCACCTCCAGAAGCCCCTTGCTCCTGAACCTCCCAGCCTCCCAGACTACCAAGCCTGAATCTGTTCTTCAGAACTGAGCCAGGCTCCCAGGCTCCCAGATGCTCACACAAAGACCTGGGACAGGCAGCTACCTCCTCTCCCTTGTCCTTCTGCTCACAAGTTTAACGCACCTTCCACCACCTCGGTGTCCATGTGCAGGAGGGCTTCCAGAAGCTCACGGCGAAAGCCACACCCAGACTGCACAACTTTCTGTACCACAGCTAACTTCTCATTGCTTTCCACACACTTTGTGGTAACTCATACACCGATCAAATCCGAACTCCAATCAGTGATTCCCAAGCTGAGCATCAGAGAGCAGAAAGCCTGCAGTCCACACTTGTGAAGGGTCAAGACTGCATTTTATGAAGGAGCTTCGCATCCACCCTACATTGCCATAACACTGCACAACGCACAGGACCCAGACCTCTGCTTACCATACTTACCAACGCCACTGGTACGTCAGAGGGACCTGCCCAGGGCGGGACTGGGACACCCGGTAAGAGATGTCCAGCCATGGCCTAGACTGGATCACAGGTCCCCAAAGCCCAGCGTCTGGTCTGTCCTGCCTATAGGGACTGAGCCAAAACAAACGGCAGACCCCCTAGCTTAGCCACCTGACGGACAGAGGCCAAGAGATTACTCACTGATTTCCCCAAGGTCCTCACTGCCAAATTCCTGATTCCTCTACCTGTTCCTCGCCTCTACTGAACAACTCAGAATTGCCTCCTTGACTCCCTGTGTCCCCACCAAGGCTAGCGGAGGGTTCCTGAGTACACCTGCTCGATTCCGCGGCTGCCTGCCACAGGCAGGAAGCAGGTGGGCCAGGAGCCCCAGGAGCGGTGACCAGGCCCCTGGCTGGCTGGACTGATGGTCCCGTCTCTCCCTTCCCGCTACTCCCCTCCCTCCGGACTAGCACTGCTCAGCTCGTTCCCATCTGTGTAGGTGACCGCAGGGGATACTGCACCCCAAACGAGACCTAACACAAAGCCGGGAGGAGTGGGGAGGCAGCCCCACGGGGTTCCCTGGGGGCCGCCTGGCCACGATCCACCTCACACACAACTTTCTCAAAAGTGGGGCATTTCGGAAACCAAGGCGAGGCGGCATGCACAAGGCCAGGTCTGTCTCTAACCAGCGCGTTAGGGGGGACACGCACACCCAAGTGTCCCGAGGAAACCATAGGCGAGACGGCAAGGAGCACTGATTGGAGGACACAGTCTAACCAGACCCCCTGCCCACCGTCTCCCTAAAAAGTTCGGTAAAAGCTACTTCGGCCTGTAACTAAAGCCACAGCTTCACAGCACCCGAATCAAGGGCCTCTCCAACTCTGCCCTACATCCCCCTGCCAAGCGTCACGTCACCCAACTCACTCCTCGGCCTTCGCTTCGGCGACGGTCCCCGCATGAGGCCCCCGAGTCCTCCGCACCCCCGCGCCCGGCCTCGCGAGGGGAGGCAGCCGGCCGGGAAGCCAGCCGCGTCGGACCCCACAAGGGCGCGGCGCTTCCTCCCGCGGCCGCAGGCCCCCCGCCCATTGTCCCGGGCCCGCCCGCCGCACACCCGGGGACCCCGGCCCAACGCCGCCGCCCCACCAGGGGCGCGCCCGCTCACCTTCTTGCCCTTTTTGCCCTCCTCTTCCATGTCGCCGCGTGCGGCCCCCGCGGCCCGCCCGGCCCGCCCCGGGAGCCCCGCCGCCAGGACCACTACATGCTCGCCCCGGGCCCGCCGCCCCGCGCGCCCGGCGCCGCCCGCCCGCAGTCCCCGCCCCGGCCGCGCCCCGCACCGCACTTCCGGGCCCGCAGGCCCCGCCCCGCTCTGCAGGCCCCGCCCCAGGCGCGGAGGCCCCGCCCCCAGCCGCCGCGCACTCGCACTTCCGGGCCCTGGTGCCCCGCCCCCCGGAGGCCGCCGCGCGCTGGCCCCGCCCCCAGCCCCCTGCGCCCGTCGGGAGGGCCGGGTGGCGTCTTGGCCTTGCCGGCCGCCAGAACCGCCCCCTCCGCTAGGGCGGGAGTGACCGACCCCGCCTCCAGCCTGCTCCGCGCGCCTCAGGGCCACGGGAGCGCGTGGGAGCCGCTCCAACTTTTCAATTCTGCCGCCATCTTCCCGCGCGCTCGGAGGGCGGGGCCTCGCCTGGGGGCGGGCCTCCGCTGGGCGGGGCCTCCGCTGGGCGGGGCCTGGACGGCGCGGAGCCGCGGCTTTGCAGCTTGCGGGTCGCGCTTGGTCCCCTCGGGACGCCGGGGAGCCCTTCTCTGGTGTTTGTTCGGATGCAGCCACCCGCGGCACGGAACGTCCAACACGGCACAAGGACCGACACGGTCTCGGAAAGAACTGCCGCTTCTGGTCCTGACCGCCTCGGGGCACCGCGGTCCGGGGACCCGGAGAATTGGAGTCACCCCAGCTGCTGGTCGAGGTGACAGCGTGAGGGTCTCGGCATGGCCCGGGGCCCGGGTGCCCGTTTCACTCCAGCTTCCGAGGGGCAGTCGCCCGAGGGAGGCCCCTGCTGCGCCCTCCCGCCGCTGGATACTTACTGCCCGCACCCCAGGGCATGGGGCTCCCGTGAGCTGTGCCAGCACCTGTCTGCCTCCCTGGGCCTGGGATCTTGCGTTGGGAGCTGTCCATCGCGTCTGTGGCTCCTGGCTCCTTGCATCCCCTAGCCCTAAACCCGCTTGTAATTCCACGAAGTCATCTCTGTCCTGCCTGGTAATAGGCCTGCTGCACTTCCTATGGGGGCCTGGGTACTGTGTAACTTGGGTAGACAGAGCAGCGGAACGGGACGGCCCCTTCCACCAGGCTCCCACAGGGCCCCAGCTTCCCACACTCAGACACCAGTGCCAGCCACGCGTTTGGTTCCCGTTACTCAGCCACCATTCCCACAACAGTGGACTGTGAAGGTCTCGCACAGCTTTCCACTCTTGCCCATGCCTTTCCCCCACTTACTGGTGTAGGAAGTTGCAAGGTTCGCCAACAACCAGGGAAAGAAAAAAGCCTCAGCTGACTGTAGACACGAGGCCTTTAGTGGGGGCCCGCGCAGCAGAGGCAGAGAAAGCAGAGAGCCGCCAGGACGAAAAGCTGTGCAGATAAGCATGCAGGTGGCTTTCATGCCCCCTCTTGCTGGGCCCGCATCCTTAGGAGAGGAAATGGATCTACACCGGGTCTGCCTCTAGCTGTGAACGTGGCCCACAGGTTAGCCTGCTGCCTACAATGCCCACAAACCCTACGCACACCAGTTCAAGTCCCAGCTGCTCCGCTTCCGACCAGTTTCCTGCTACGTCTAAGAAATTAGCAGAGGATGGCCCAAGTGCATGCGGCCCTGCACCCACCAGCAAGAAGCTCCTGGCTCCTGGCTTCACCTTGGCCCAGCTCTGGTTGTTGCAGCCAACTGGAGAGTGAACCAGTGGATGGAATATCTTTCCCTCTCTTTCTTAACTTCCAGAATAGGTAACCCTTGAAGGAGAGGTCTGGCCAAAAAGAGGACATTAAAGCGGAACACGTGAATGTCCCCCGTCACTGCCCACTGTGTAGATGGGCTCTGGCAGGAGGCCAGGGAGGTGAGTGGCAGAGCTGTTGGAAAACAGCATGTGTCTCCAGCTGGCCCGTCTGCAGTGCCACGCTGCTGGACTCCTGGCTGCCCAACTCAGGCAGCACTCTGCCCATGCCTGTGACCCTGTGTTAACCACGCAGAGAACAGCTCCCAGAGGCCATTGCAAGCTCCTGGGGAGGCAGGGGGAGGGGTGTTCCTCCTGGGACGTGCCCAGGCTGAGGTGCAGGGGCTCTGGCCAGGTCACCTGCAGCAGCATGAGACACTGCCCAGCCAGACCTTCTGTTTTCCAGAAACTTCTGACCCTTCCATGGCCTCTGCAGTTACTATTTGCATCTTTACCAGGTTCCAACCAATTTGTTTCTTCAAGGGTATTTTTTTTATTGTTTATCTCCGACCTGACTGCAACTGCCAGCACTAAACCAGCCTAAACCCACAGGTTCCAGAAGCCAGGAACCTAGTCCCATTCTCCCACATGGGTGGCAGAGACCCACAGGCTTAAGCCATCACTTCTTGCCTGCCAGGGTTCACATTAGCAGGAAGCTGGCCCAGAACCGAGGACATAGGCATCCCAGGAAGATGCCGAACAGCTGCCCAAGCTGCTTTAAAACGCTCAGTGCTCCCAGGCCGACTGCAGTTCCCCCTGTCTGCCATCTGTCCCTGGCAACCTTAGCAACCGCCTCCCTCGTACGAGAACTAAATGGCTTGCTCAGAGGTAACTGGGTGTGCAAGCCCATCCAACACCTCCGACAGGAATCCTTGCTGGCTGCACGTTGAATGGGGGGGTCTGCCCCTTTAGGGCCAATTCGAGTGAGTTCTCAGCGACTTCACCAAACCCAGGGGTGGAAGGAACAAACAAGACCCCCGTGAAGCCTGTGCGCCCCGTACCTCGGGGCCACGTGAGAGCCCCGCTTTCCCCTCGTGGTGGGGCGTATCTGTGAGAGATCAGAACAGGCCACCCCCAAATAGGAGGAGGAAACCAAGATAAGCCACCCCCAAATGTGAGGAGGCCAGGGTAGACCACCCCAAAAGATGTCAAGTTGCACAAAAATTATTTTTAGAAAGAGGCTACAAAAACACACAACACAGACACTCTCGGAAAGCCACTGGGGAAGGGCGCCGGGATGCAGAGAACTCCACCCTGGGAGAAGCGACGCCTACACTGCCACCCCGCGGCGGGGCGGCCCGCGCCGAGGCCACGCCCCGCGGGCATACGTCATCTCCTGGCGACGCGGTCACGGGCTGCGCGACGGCCTTGGTGGAGACTGTGTTCGCGGCATGGTCAGGTATTGTGCCCCGGACCTGTCGTCATCTGCCGCCATCGAGGGCCCCAGATGGAGTCCTACGGTTCTGGGCCAAGGTAGGGCTCATGGAGGGGCTTGGACCTCGATAGCGCCGCAGGAGGGGCGTGGGCTGTGCTCGGAGGCTGAGGTTTTTCCCGGCGAAGGCTCGGGGCTGGGTGGGGGACTCCCAGTGCCCGGAGGGCCTCGTGCGTTGGAGATGGGGGCTCTGCGTGAGCTCGGGGGACCCCAGCTGGGCCCCAGGCTGGTAAGACTCACGTGTTCAGGGGTGCAAGCCCCCGGCTGACTGCGTGTGCTCTTTTAGAGATGGGAGTTGTGGACAGCGGGCCTGTGTCTGCAGGCCAGAGGGCTGACGGCCGGAGAGACGCGCGGGTGAGTGAGCCCCTCTGCCTGAACCGTCCCTGGCTAGGCGCCCCTTCTGCGGGCTTATCGGGATCCGGGGGCCAGCACCGCGGGCAGCAAGCCTCCAGCGTGCTGGGGCCTGTCGTGGCCCCATGTATTCCTGCAGTGCTTGCCAGAGCAATTCGGAACGGTTTGAGGCCTCGCTCTGCTCCATCCAGAGCGAGGTTATAGAACTTTCGGACAGTCGCCTGCCCTGCTCCCTTGCTGGGTGTGCTGTCGGATGTGGCACACAGTTAAAACCAAGTTCTCATTCACAGCGGCCACGTGTCGGGGTCTGGGTGGCCACGCCTTGGACGATAGCTGTGTGCAAGGTATAAGATTTATTTTACTTGAAAGCTGGGGGGGTCCTCCATCAGCCACTTGGCTCCCCAAATGGCCGTTGTAGCCAGGAGCTCCTCCAGGTCTCCCACGCGGGTGCAGAGTTCCAAGGCTTTGGGCGGTCATCGACTGCTTTCCCAGGCCACAAGCAGTGAGCTGGATGGGCAGTGGAGCAGCCGGAACTTGCACCTGCCCCCCATTACTGCGAGGAGGCTCCATGGGTGGTGGAGATGGGGAGACCAAGCTCGGACTCCCCGTGCTGCAGGTGTCTGCAGTGAGACAAGCTGAGAGGACTGGCCCCCTCAGGGACAGCCTGTCCCGAAGCTGGTGGGGGTGTGGAGGGGCTGACCCCAGGGTCTCCTTGAGGGGATCCAAGGGCAGAGTTCAAGCCACCGTGGGAGGGTGAGTGAGGCTGCTGCCCATGATCACTGTCATGTCTCCAGGGTCCAGAAAGCCACAGGTTCCTTTGTTGGCTGTGAGCGGCGTCTCTGACATCCACGTGGATCTGCTGTAGGTCACCACCCCAGCACATGGCACGAAACTCTGTGCCATTCCTGAGGGTCCAGCTCCATGGAGCCTGCGCACGGTAAGTGCCCAGAAGTTTGGCCTAGTGAGTCACTCGTTTGTCCTTCTGCTCCATGTGCTAATTTTCCATGAGTTAATTGGTTAACAAAGTTAGAGAACTCTCACCTGTGCTAACCCTTGTGCTCTTGTCTTCACAGGCCTCCAGGGTGCGTGCGGCCACACAGTCCAGAGCGCAGATGCCGAGGCCAAGACCTCCTCGTGGCAACACACCTGGCATGGTGTTTATCCAAGGCGTTGTCACACCCAAAGGTGATGCCATGTCCAGGTCCTCGTGTAGGTGAAAGAACAAGAAGATTTCATGTTTAATAAAAGTGGTGTTGAAAGTCGGTTCAGTCTGACCTGTGGGTTGGGTTGTTTTTTTTTTTTTTTTTTTTTTTTTAATCATATACTGGATGCAGAGATAAGGAAATTCCCATTTCTTTAAATTTTCACTTATTGGAGAGTGAAAGCTTCCATCTGATTGGTTCACCGTCTGGATGTCCACTGCAGCTGAGGTTTGGTGGGGCCCAGCCGCTCTCCCATTGGGCAGTGGGAAGCACTGCTGCTTTGGGGAGCATGCACCAGACTTGCAGAGGGGTGCAACCCATCCCAGGTGGGGTGTTAAGGAGCTGTGGAGAGTAGAAACTGAGGAAGCTGCTTGGGGAAGGGTGTCTCCCTTTTAGGGCGCATGCTTGCAACCGGTTCCTGCAGTGAGGTCAAAATAAGACCGAGTTAGATGTCTGCTGTAGATGGCCACAAGTGCCAGGCCAAAACCAGCAGCAGTGAACCTCATCCCCTCTGCATGTGGGGGCTGAGTACTCGGGCATCTGCTGCTGCTTCCCAAGGTCAACTGCATGAAGCCAGGTGGGGATTGACCAGGGCACAGACATCCTCACATGGAATGGTGTCTGCTGGCATCTCTGTACTCACTGCCATAATGCCACTGAGTCCCTCCCCCAGCATACAAACCAAGCTCTGTGGGGATTGTTTTGGTTTGTTTGTTTTGTACCTAATTGGAGAGATCTCCCATCCACTGGTTCATTCCCCAAGTGGCTAAAAAGGCTGGAGCTTCTTCCTGCTCTCCCATACAGGTTCCTTGGGTTATCCTCTGCTGCTTTCCCAGGCTATAGTTAGGGAGCTAGATAGGAACTGGAGCAGCCAGGACATAAACTAGTACCCATATGGGATCCTGGCGCATGCAAGCTGAGGACTTTAGCCATTGGGCTACCACACCAGCCTCAGGACTCTGGCAGAGCCAACCCGGGCTTGTCAGCCAAGCCCTGCCAACACCCCACAAAGCAAGGGCCTGGGAGAGGTCTGGCTGAGCTCTCATGGTCACAGGTTTCAGTCCCAGGCAGCGGAGGAGGGAATACCCCTCCTTGTCCTTCCTCTGGGAGCCTCTGGTTTATCCCATGTCATTACAGAGCAGGTTCCAGGGCATCTGCTTCTTCCACTGCTGGGAACCAGGCCGAGCTGGCTGCTGAACAGGGTCTGAGTTGGAGCAAGGTCTGTCCAGGGCCAAGGAGCAACTATGATGTCATCTATGGGCCTTGGTTTCCGGGAATGAGAAGGGAGGCTACGTGGGTCATGAGGCCGCACAGAGTGCAGGCCTGCGCAGAGGGCACAGCCGGAAGGCCGGCCCCGTAGGCTCCCTTTAACGGTGACACAATCCGTCGTCCCCACTGACTTCCTGAGCTTGGGGAAGTGAAACAAAAGAATTTCCCCCAGGCTCCCACTCAGTTTGGGAAACCCTCCAAAACCCCAGCCCAAAAGGTGGGCGTAGGGAGGGGCAACCCCATACCGGGGCGCTGGCCCAAGGGGACACCCAGACTGCAGAGGGTAGAGCCAGAGCCCGCTTTTCCAAGTTGGAGGTTGCTGGGCACCTTGCCTGTCAGCTGCAGGGAGGGGACTCGTTTCAAGGCTTTAAGAAGAAAATGACTTGTTCACCAAGCAACTCAGAAGTTCTGTTTTCTGTTTCACCTTGCTCATTTGAAAGAGCCACAGAAACTTCTGTACCCTGCTTCACTCCTGCAAGTGGCTGCAACGGCCAGAGCTGGGCCAGGCGGAAACCAGGAGCTGGAGCTTCGCACAAACGCCAGTTTAACACTGTGTCTCTCAGTCATCTCATTTTAAACTTGGAGCTGTTTGGGGCCAGCTCCGGAGCACAGTGGGTCACACCATGTCTCATGACTCTGCCATGCCATATCAGAGCACCCGGTTCATGTCCCAGCTGCTCCACTTCCCATACAGCTCCTTACTAAGGGCCTGGGAAAGCAGCAGAGGGCGGCCCAAGTCCTTGGGACCCTGCACCTGCTTGGGCAACCCGGAGGATCGCACTCCAGGGCAGTCCTGCTGCTGGCTTTGGGTTAGGGTTAGGCAACACACACCCTGTTGTCCCGAAGGTCGGGACACCAGCGCCATTTCTTGTCCTTGGCTAATGTGTGCGCCGGGAAGTATACTGGTACTGAGTTCTGAGAGGACAAACACACACCACGACGCCCCCTTGTCATGTGAAGAGGTCTCTGGAGCACCACGGGTGACCCCCACACCCAGCATGCACTGCAGACCAATCCACCAAGACTTGCTGGTTGTCCAGGGGTGGGCAAGCATAAGGAGGACCTAGCGGGAGTTGAGCAGGAGGACGGCAGGGCGGGGAAGCAGGAAGCTGCTGGAGCACCTACAGGCGAGGCGGCTGCTGGGGGCAGGGAGGCCCCTCCCAGGGCCAGAACCCACTTCCTACTTCAGAGCCCCAGGGGAGACTGCAGCAGCTGGGCCTTCCCCAGACCTCCAGGGGCCTCCGCCTGCCCGCCTACCCACTGCCCGCGTGCCGCACAGGGCGATCCGGCCCTCTGGCCCTGGTGTCTCCAGGCACAGCATGGAGGATGATGAAGGCCCCGAGTACGGCAAGGCTGACTTTGTGCTTTTGGACCAGGTGACCATGGAGGACTTCATGAAGAACCTGCAGCTCAGGTAGCTGGGTTGGCAGGGGCACAGGGTGTTAGGCTCAGCTCTCCCCTCTACCCATCACCCCTAGAGACCTCCCAAGGAAGGGAGGGGTCACCAGGGGTTGGGTCAGCACCCTCCTGCCGCCCATCCAGACACCCTTGTTCCTTGAAGCCCAGCCCAGGGGATGCCTACCTATGCTATCTCCCATCTCACCCTGGAGCCCGAACCCTGGGGTGCTGTGCTGGGCAGGTAGACCCCACTCTGGTCGACAAGATGCTTGGGGCAAGGCGGGACAGGGGAAGCTGTGTGGGGGGTTGCCACAGGACATGCATGTCTGGCAGAAGGGGCACTGGAGCCTGAGCTGTCATTCCAGGTGGCAGACAAGGCAGGCAGGGGCCCAGGGTCGAGGGCAGTGTGCTGGAAAGCCCCCTGGCCTGGCAGCCCCAGGCACTCACACAGGTGGAGCAGAGGGGAGGGTGGGGCAGGCCAGGAGCAGGGTGCCATGCTCCTCTCTGGGACACGAGGTCCCGAGCTCTGCACACTGCTACTGGAGACGCCCAGGTCAGTGACTTGGTCAGAGGAACCCTGACAGCGAGAGGTGAGGGTGGTTCCCCCACACCAGGGACACCCAGCCTGAGGGGCAGAGAAGCCACCCCTGCTCACACAGACACAGGTCTAGAAGTGGAGTGGAAGGCTTTCAGGAGTCTGCGGAGGTGCTGCGGGTGCTGCTGCGGCAATAGACAAGGACAGACAGCCAGTGTGGGTTCCACAGTTTTGCCCTGAGCCATCCCTGTGGTCTGGGTGGGGCTGGGTGGGGCCCCTTACACTGGGTTCCACCCTGGTCTTGAGGCCAGAAACTGCAGAATCCTCTCCCTCCTGCAGCCCAGCCCCTTCCTCTCCCCACCTGTCCTGCCCTGTGGGGTCTGCCCAGAAACAGCCCTGACCCAGCCACACCCAAGATGATCCGGCATCCTAGGACTTCAGAGACCCTCATGAGCAGTGTGGACCCCACCCTGTGCCCTTTGGGGGCCCAGCTCAGCCAGGATGGCACAGGGGGAGCACAAGGCGACACTCACCCCTTTCTCCCTTCCCACACTCAGCCCCTTAGGTTGGGGGGGGGCACTTGACAGGACTAAAGTCGCCCCCTTCTCATGTGGCTGCGGCCAGAGGCCTGTGTGTGCCGCTAGTCCAGCACGCTGACCCAGTTCTGCACGTCCAGGTTCGAAAAGGGCCGTATCTACACCTACATCGGCGAGGTGCTGGTGTCCGTGAACCCCTACCAGCCGCTGCCCCTGTACGGGCCCGAGGCCATTGCCAAGTACCAGGGCCGGGAGCTCTATGAGCGGCCGCCCCACCTCTATGCCGTAGCCAACGCCGCCTACAAGGCCATGAAGCAGCGGGCCAGGGACACATGCATCGTCATCTCAGGTACCGCTCCCTGGGCCACCTGCACCCGGGCCTTGGGCTGCTGGACTTCTCCCGCAGGCTGGGGCACAGGTGGGGCGGGCCCATGCTCAGCCAGTGAAGCTGCTCTTGTGACAGCAGTGGCGGTTTGAGTCCCAGTTCCTTCACTCCCAGTCCTGCTTCCAGCTAATGGCGGATGGAGGGTTCTCTGTCTCTCTCCCTTAAATCAATGCACTAAGAGGGAGTCGGCTGCGGGGGGTCTCAGCTCCATCTCCCCGGCAGGAGAGAGCGGGGCCGGGAAGACGGAGGCCAGCAAGCACATGATGCAGTACATCGCTGCCGTCACCAACCCCAGCCAGAGGGCCGAGGTGCAGAGGTGAGCACGGCCAGCAGGCAGGAGCCTGCAGCCAGTGCAGGCCAAGGGCGGGGCCTGCGGGACCCCTCAGGACCCCCTAATTACTCTCAGAGGCAAAACCTGGCTAGGAGACACCAGGGACCACCCACGGGTGGTGGCATGAGATCCAGCCAAAGGATCCAGGCTACCAGCTGGGGAGCAGGTGGCGTGGACAGGAGAGCCTGGAGTCAGGGGAAGTCAGGCAGGGCCAGGGGTGCCTCTCCGGGACAGCCAGGCACCCCAGACAGGCATGTGGGCTGTGGCTGTAGACTGGGAAGCCAGGGCTGCCGCTCAGCACAGCCCTTGCAGAAGCACCTTCCTGTGTGGCCGGTCTCTTCCTGTCAAGACGTGGCAGGGTGGGGCACAGAGAGCACCAGCAAATAGAGCTCCCGTGCACAGGGCCACACCCAGGCATGGGCTGAGGCTGGAGGTCCAGCGGCCTTCTAGAGCAGCCCCCTCCCCCACCCCAGGCAGGGCACGCACCCTGTGACCTTGGGAGGAGCAAGAGGAAGAGACACAAGAAACAAAGAGCTGCCAGGCCTCAGAGCTGCAGTGTGTGACAGCTGCATGGCCTGTGACAGCCCCAGGTCTGGCCAGTACCACCCCAATCCACAGACCCC